AGGCCAACAGGGACAAGCAAGATCTCCTCAGCGATCTCAACATGGAGAGTCAGGATCCAGGCCTCAAGGGAGACAGAGAACTCCTCATGAGCAGGCAAGAGACACCACCAGGCACTCCCAGTCACAAAGGGGACAATCCCCTCAGTCTGGCAGGGCACCCTCTAGGAGAAGGGCCCCATTGACCAGTGAGTCCAGCGGCACTGAAGAGCACTCCGAGTCCCCACACACACACTCAGAAGCCCCTCTGGCCCAGCCTGGCTCTCAACATGGCCAGTCGCCGTCCAGACCTCAGGGAAGACAGCAAACTCCACAGCACCAGTCAAGAGATACCTCGAGACATGGCCAGCAGGCTCATGGACAGTCCCCACAGTCTGCCTCAGGAGCACCTGCCAGAAGGGCACAGTCTCACAGCCAGGCCAGCGATACAGAGGAGCATTCCCAAGCCCCACAGGGACAATCAAGGTCTCCTCAGCGCCACACCAGGTCCCAACATGGAGAGTCAGGATCCAGGCCTCAGCGAAGACAACAAACTCCACATCAGCAATCGAGAGATACCTCCCGACATGGCCAGCAGCCTCATGGACAGTCCCCACAGTCTGGCTCAGGAGCACCTGCCAGAAGGGCACAGTCTCACGGCCAGGCCAGCGACACAGAGGAGCATTCTCAAGGCCCACAGGGACAAGCAAGATCTCCTCAGCGATCTCAACATGGAGAGTCAGGATCCAGGCCTCAAGGGACACAGAGAACTCCTCATGAGCAGGCAAGAGACACCACCAGGCACTCCCAGTCACAAAGGGGACAATCCCCTCAGTCTGGCAGGGCACCCTCTAGGAGAAGGGCCCCATTGACCAGTGAGTCTAGCGGCACTGAAGAGCACTCCGAGTCCTCACACACACACTCAGAAGGTGGTCCGTCTCAGGCTCGATCTCAACGTAGAGCTTTCGGATATAGCCGGGCACACCTGCCTCATACTCACTCACATGCACGGGATAGCATAAGGAAGTATTCAACTCACATTCATACTTATTCTGGATCAAGGAGTGGTCAATTCCAAAATAATGGTCAACATATACATGCATCCAACCATCGCTGGAGACATGGTAGCTATGGCTCTGCAGGATATGACTATGGTCAATCTGGATATGGACCTTCTCATGCCAACAGAACGAACAGCCAAAATGCTAATCCTCTGAGATCATCAGAGAGATCTAGAAGTACACACGTGTCTAACCATGGTCAATCCTTTTCCCTATCTGACCATGTTGGGTCCAATGCAAGTGAAAGAGTGAGAGCTCCAAGTTCTTCTCATGTACATTCCAATATAATTCATGCCCAGTCAGTTGATCCCTACAATCAGTCTGGGTCCAGTATATCTAGAAGGGGAATGTGTAGTCATGATCATTCTTTTTTAACTGCAGAACCATCAAATGACCCTGATTTTCAACATGAATACAGTAGAACAAAAAAGCAATCATCTATTCATAAGAAATGTAGTGATGACTCTGATCCTAGCCATGCAGACTACATATCTTTTCCTGGACATTCAGAATCTAGTTCAAGTAGAACCCAACCTGGATTCAGTGCCACTGAAGGGCAAGTATATAGCCATAGCCCATCAAGTGCCAGTGATGAGCTGCTGATTGACACCAGAATCAGAAGTCAAAGATCCATTTCCAGTTACTATCTTGATAGCCAAGAACCTATGGAAACTGAAGCATATAGATATAAATATTTATCAAGTACAGCCACAGTGGGTGGGGGAATTCAAGGACAAGATTTAGAATCTAATCCATCTGAGTGGATCACAAGATACAGTCAGAATTTAGTTGACAATCAGCCACGAATCTCTGAGGCCAGAGGTTACCATGGGAGGGGGAGAACTGACTTAGATTGCTTCTACTCAGATAGCAACACTCCACTCTATGAATATGTCCAGGAACTAAGGCATTATTAGACAACCAAAGAATCCATGACAAGAACTAACTGAAAGAAGAAATGAAGCACTGTAAAAAAATAATAATAATAAGATATATAATGCAATCTCTTTTTGTTAGTAGGACTGTATGTCTGTTCTTTTATATTAACTATATTACTTTACTAATTTTTTGATGCAGGATCTTTATATAGTATTCCATAATCACTAAGCTCTTTGGATAGAAAATAGTGAATGGAAGAATGGAATAGCAGTTGGGATTACATCACAAATATATAATAAAATGATTGGATGTTTGCAGAAAAAAATGAGTATTTAAAAATTCCCTGAGACTCAAAATTTGGATTTTCCTGATTTTGTTTTAATGGTTATAGCAAACCTATCAAAGAAGCTAAGCAACATAGCTGAGAAGCCAAAATTTCTTAAGTAACATTATAATTACTGTAGTTCCCTAGATGGAGATGCAGAATATTTTCATCTTTTTGTTTCACCACTGGACCTCCATACTACTACTTTTAAATTCATTGACATGACCCCCTGGTTATAGAAACCAGACAACTGTATTGCATTAAAACTGACAATAAACTTTTCATCAAAATATTCTTCATCTTCTTTTTCATCTCCACGAACACAAATGCAGATCCCTGTCATGGTGTGAGGGGAGCTGAACATTTTTCTTGTATCTCTGGATACCTGCATGGCAGTGAAGTACTCGAATATTAGTAATTAAAGAACTCCAAAGAAGGCAAAAGTCAATGATGTCTGATCTTTTCCTCAATCTTACTGGAAGAAAGGCTTTATACTGAGTTGAGCTCTGGTGCTTTGCTCAATCATGATCATTACAACAAACATTATCAAATATAACCCCAAGTAACTATCTCCTAACACAACCCAAGTTCTGGAAATAAAAATTACGTAGTATGGATTTTCTCTGTCAAAGATATTAATTGAAATATCCCTACCAATGGAAGCTAATAGAGCCTTGAGATTTCATATAGAAGAAAAACAATTAAAACATATTAAATATATATATTCCTCCTTAAAATGAGAAAATGTAAATCCACTGTGACTAATAAAAGAAAAAATAAAAAGCAGAAAAATATGTACAAATGATATTAACTTCAGCACAAATATTACTATTGTTAAAACCCAAAGATTATTTCCAGAACATTGGAGCTAAAAAAGATCACTCCCTTAATTTGCAGATTAAAAGAAAATATATTTAAGAAAAAGTGGTAATTCCCTAAAATCAGAATTTGGTGCTCTACCTCTCTTTGCCCCCAGATAAGTTATTTTCCTTATACTTTCCTTTTGGAATTTAAAATAAAGTGAAATTCATCAGTATATGTGTAAACTCACTACCCCTGTCATCTCAAGATAGGTGAATGCAGGCATGCAACACTCACCACCTCTTCCACAAACAAGAACCAAAGCAACAAATGTGTGGCTGCATTTTGACATAAGTGACCATCAGAGAACACTGAAAATCAGCAAGGGAGAGGCTTGGATCTTGCAAGGTTCAGACACTAGGAAAAGAGTATAGAGAAAGAAATAAAATACCCTAAGCATCTGCCACACCAACTCCACAGTTCAGGGAGAGGGAGACATCACTTCCCAGAAATAAGGGTGAAAGAGAGAGAAGGGACAAAGAAAGAAAGAGGCTCTATATATGTGGATACTGGCAATCATAGCTATTGCAAAGTTTCACAATACTCACAGATTTCCACCTACTTAGATAAGGAACCTGAAGTCTGCACAATAGCCTTACTTTGAAAAAGACTTCACATCACCTCTCAATAAACTCCCATGTTACTGCAGCCAGGGAATTACCTTAAAGGGGGAATTATTATCTGAATTTGCACTACTCTTGGGGTCAGAAATCCCACATATTCTCATCTCTGAGACCCATGGACATTCCACTGCACCTTCTTGGTTGCCTTGTGAACCAAACTTGGTCAAGCAGAATGACTCTGACTCAAACCAACTGCATGTAGGGGATAGATGCTGTGATACGTAAGAGAATGGAAGGGGCCACCTTTAAGAATCAGATCAAGGAACTTGCCCTCTAAGACCAGGAATATGGCCAATCCCATGGACATTTGCTGGTACTGAAGGCAGATGCCCAAGCAGTTCCTACTCTCCTCTCTTATGCTGTGCATAGACACTTGTTACAAGACAAGAAAAAAATAATGTGGCTCCACTACTGCCTGGCCCACATGGGAGTGCCACAGTGGCCTTAAACAATGCTGTAGCTCAAGCCATCAACTTGCCACTGGGTATGTATGGCTAAGAAGACACCAAGAGGAATTTTCCCAGGTTCTGGCTATGTCTTGTACCTTCTCATTCACTGATGGTCCTACACCTTAAAGGAAAGGAGAAGAGCCCTGACCATCCTTGGGCTTGCATGCCCAGAGGAGGTCCAAGAGGAATTTCACTTGGCTCTGGCCATGTCCAGCTCCTACTTGTTCCATGGCAAGCACAATAGCTGAAACAGTCTGGCGAAGCAAAGCCCTGGGCATAACCCATCCCCAGCCATCCACAGATGGTAGAAAGGGACCAAGCTTCTGCTTATGGGAGGGTGCTCTCACAGTAGCAGCATAGAAGAGCATCACAATTCCTGCTGCCACCACACCTATGCTGTTCCTACTGCTGACTGCTTCCACGCCTTGCCTGACCACATGCTGCTGTGAGGACTGGGTATGCATACCACCAGCAGCATACTGGGACTCTTGCCACTGCCTCTTGCCATAAAGTGCCTGACCTAATACACCATCTGGTCAGAGGACATGTGCTTCACTACTTTCACCACTAATGGTGTGGGCCATGCCAGAGACACATCACACTGCCTGAGGAAACTTCCCTCACCTGATAGGGAAACTTTCCTCACCACTCCTTTGTAGAAGTAGCCAGAATATGCACCCCTCATACTTTGCTGTCTACCGATATTTGTCTAAACTACTAGAGGTCCCTACTCTTATGCAGCCTGCAAAGGCAGTAGGTTTTTCTAACTCTGATATAGTATACACCAAGCCCAAATTCATTAACCATAACCAATGAAGTTATAGGAAGACTACACAACAGTGCCCAGATGGAAATAAAGCCAACAGTCCATAAAAACCAACACCCTCTAGGAGAAATCTGCTCACTAGGAAAGCCACCCCATAAAAGTGATTAGAGATATCTGACCCACTGGCTAAAAAAATCTCAATGTAAGAACTCAGGAAAAATTAAAAAAAAAAACAAAAAAAAAAAAAAAAAAAAAAAAAAGAGGAAAAGTGAGAAGAAGGGAGAGAAGAAGAGGAGAAACAAAAGATTTCAAAAAAACCCAAAAGGGATGAAA